TCAGTAATGCAATACGATGCATCCAAACAAGGGCTCGTGTGCAGCTCAGATCAGCCTCTCTGGATGTGTTTAAAGCTCAGCAGATACGGTATCGTGTTGCAACACTTAGTTTGCTGCCTCACCAATAAATTTCTCTTTTCAAAGAAATGCTTTCAATGTAAGAACTACACCTGCTGCACCTGCCGTGCTTTCCATAGTGTCTCTACTCAGCTGATTGTCATGTCTCACTACATTGTTTGCTGGGTGAAAGATTTGTGCTTTGTTGGAGGTTGCTGAAGTACCTCTGTTTTTGATACTGAGTTATCATTAGATCTCATTCTGGGGGTTGGCCCAATGGCCGGAAAAAAAAGAAACGCCCCGGCAAAAATTTGGTAAGGAATTTTTAAAAATTTTTCAGTACCAAATTCAAAGGTTCTTGGCTGACGAAGGGCAGATTGCTGACTGTGGGTTAGGAATGAGTTGCTGCCTGAAGTTGCTGAGTTAAAGTAACAGGGTTAAGCCGGGGAAGAGTGAAGTGGGAGATTAATTGCAGTGCACTGTTCTGATTAGTTGTGGTAATTAGAGCTGAGCATGAAGAACGAGACGTCTACTTTCTGATCTTAACCTATCACCGTGAGCTATGTTCTGTGACGAAAAAACCCAAGACACACTGAAAAGAATCAGTTTCTGTGCCGGCCTATAAAAACGTCAGTTTCCTGCTGGAATAGTTGGAGGTGGTGGCTGGGAAGAGTGTGGTCTGGACACTTCAGCTTAACTCCCACATCCTGATGAGTGGCACAGAAGACGTTGGATGGATGGAGTAAGGGCAGTGGTCACACATAAACAAAAAAAAAGTAATTAAAAAGTCTATTAGTGGAAAACACCTAGTTTTGATTGGCTGGAAATAAAAATCTTCTCTTTTTCTAGAGTATTTTAAAATCTCTCAATCAGGGTTCAAAATTCTACCATGTGCTTCTTATCATTAAGTTAAAGGTTGTTTCATTTTGGCTGCACAGTTGAGAAACTGCTACTGGCAGTTCAGGAATGTGTGGTTTATATTATATTTGTAAAGTTGCAGCCTGGAGTTATTCCCGTGCGGACACGTCATTTCAGATGTTTTCGTCATTGTTTGTCACCCAGTCTGCATCCAACAAATCACTGCAGATGTAGGACAAGAGCAGACCTGACAAGTGTTCAGCTGTCGTGTGTGTATGTAGTCACGAATGGAAGATGTGTTGGTCTCTCCGTCTGGCCCTTGAACTGGCCTGGCTTTGCCTGCCCCTCTGGATCAGTCCCTTTCCTCGTTTAATTGGCTTTCCTATTGTTGAACATTCCTGTCATGCTCCTGCCCTTTTCTTCCTGCGTCTTTGTTCCCTTTCTCTTCTCACTTTTCCTCTCTGTTTCACCTATTTTTATATGATGAATGGGTCTGGGCCTCCTGCGAGGCTGCCGGTACTGAACCAGATCAGCCTGTGGTGATTGGTTAATCCCATGATGAAATGTGGGTCACTGATGTCTATTTTTAGTCACGCTGGCAGAGGGAAAGCCCAGGTATGGTAATAGGCATCCAGCAAAAATCCAGCTCCAAATTTTAGGAGCAGTGAGCCGACTGAGGGGAATGTCGCCAGGTTTGCTTTATTTTAAGTTTTGCTGATTTAACAGTTCAACGATTTTTGTCTATGAGACCAAGAAGAAAAGTGGAAACACGTCAGTGGACATCTGTTTTTCCTTTTCTGGTTTGGGGGTATGTGATGATAGAGTTCTTGATGGAGTAATTTATGCGGTGTGAGATTCAGGTGCTCGAGGCAAGGGCAACGAGCGATGAGTGTACAACAGCCATGAGGCTTGAGAAGCTGTGATTCATGTTTCCCCCTGGGTGTTGTCGAAGTACGCTGTGGTTAGAGAGGCACTCTTCCTTACAGCTAATGCCTATCGATTCACTTCCTCACAAACACGCACACGGCATGCTTGGCTTGACTTAGAGAGCGAGCAGACAAGAATCAGATGCTCTGTACTCTGCTCAGCATGGGTCAGCGGGTCAGTGGTTGTAGGTTTTCTCATTCAGACAGTGGAACATTTCAAAATTAAAGCTGCCCTCACTTATCTCCTGTGCTGCTGCACATCTGTCTTAATCTGAGCAGCAGCAGTTTAACATTAGCTGTAATAGTAGACTAAGCAGGGGAAGTTCATGTAGCACATTTTTTCCATACTTTAGGGGAAAAACTGATGACGTGTGATGTAAAGCCCCTGTCCAGCTACACCGGTTGTGAGTCTCTGCTGATATCTGCCAGTGCAAAGACAAAATAATGACTTTAGCTAACTTTAGATCTCAGCTGCGGATAATTGCTTCATGTGAATTAAAGACCTGTTGCATAAGTCTCCGTGGAGAAGCTGAGGGCTCTCCAGTCCGTCTCTTTCATTGTTAATGAAGTGGCTGCAACTGTTCCACAAACAATCTGCACTCCTGTTGAGTGGACTAAAGCTTGTTTTATTAACGGTTGTGCATTTGCTTTGTGCTTTGCTATAGTCTGTTAATCTCCTTTAACTCTGAGGTTTAATCAGCTAAATTGATGTACAGAGTTCATCTGTGTCTGCTATAGTAAACAGTCGTTCCAGTAGTAGTATTCTGCGGTTTCTGGGGAATAACTGAAATTCAGTGGA